GGGAACCCCCCGAAACCTTCCGGTTCCAAAGTTTTCTTCTTGTTTTCTTTTTTCTTCCAAACCTTTTTTTCCCCCTTTTTCCTTTGGGTTCCCTTTTTCCCCGGGGTTGGTTTTCCCCCATGTGCCTTTGTAACCAGGGGGGGGTAGTTTTTTTTCCCCCTTTTTATTACCTTTGAAGGCCAAATTAAATTTTCCAATGTTTTTTTTTTTTTAAAGGGGGTACTTTCCAATTTTTCTTTCCGGCGGGGGGGGGGGGGGGGGGGCGTACTCATTTGTTGCTTGCCGTAGTCATTTGACCATTGACCACGCGTCCCTTTCGAGACGGAGCACCGTTCCTACACCTACTAGAGACACCACCAACATTTGGGAGCTCTTTACGTTTCTGCCACAAACTCCATAAAAATTTCTTGCACATCTTATCCCCGTCCTCTAGGGCCTCTTGTGCCCACCATCTATCCCCAATTATCGCGATCGTTTTTTCGCTGTTGTCTAATTTACCAAACTTGTCCATGTCACACCCTCTCTGCCTCATTTCCTCCTCGAGATCCTCTCTTTCCTTCCTGTACAACTCACACTCCCCAACTATGTGGGGTCTACTCTCCTCCGATTTGCCACATGGACATGTGTGTCTATCCTCCTCTTCCTCTCTCCTACGGCTGGTATACCTCTTCCTCCGTTCTGGCAAGTCCAGATCGCCTACTCGAAATTGCAATTTCAGCTTTTTCGCGTAGTCGATGGGGCCGTCCAAGTACGTCTTCATCCCTATCCCTTCTTTCAACTTCCCGTATATCTCCAAGTGGTCTTCGCTTCGTACCTTCTTCCGAAGGGTTGCCTCCTCCCTACTTTCTAGCATCTCCTTGACTTTCGTCTTGAACCCCCCGAACCCTTCCGTGTCCAACGTCTCCTCCTCGTCTCCTATCTCCTTCCAAACCTTCTCTACCACCTTGTCCCATCTGATTCCCGTCTTCCCTGGAGTCGCTTATCCCCAAGCTGCCTTGTCAACCATGGCTGGTAGTCTATCGTCCGACATTCTACTTACCTTGTACTGCCAATTCAACTTCTGCATGTCTCTCTTTGTTTTAAGAGAGTACATTCCCAATTCTGCTCTCAGCACGGGGGGGGGGGGGGGGGGGGACCCCTTTTTTTTTTTGCCGAATCTTTTTACCATTTGCCCCCCCCCCCTTTTTAAAAGGGAACCCCTTTCCCCCCCCCCTAAAAAAACCCCCCAAATTTTGGGACCTTTTTTTTTTTTTCCCCAAAACCCCAAAAAAATTTTTGGGCAATTTTTCCCCCCCCCCCTGGGGCCCTTTGGGCCCCCCCCTTTCCCCCATTTTTCCGAAACTTTTTTTCCCTTTTGTTAATTTTCCAAAATTTTTCCTTTTACACCCCCCTTTTTTTTTTTTCCCCCCCAAAACCCCCCTTTTTTTTCTGGAAAAAACAAACCCCCCCAAAATGTGGGGGCCCCCCCCCCCCCAATTTCCCCAAGAGGAGGGGTGGGTATTCCCCCCTTTCCCCCCCCCACAAACAGGGGGGGGGGGGGGGGG